CTTCCTCTCCTTCTTCTTCCCACCGTTTTTCTTTCCCTTTCCGGCACTGGTGAATAGGCCGGAAGGTTGTACATCTGTACTCGTGCCGTTAGCCTTATGCCGCAATTCCCTGCTATGAAGGGCCGATCTAACTTCTTCCAGAGATACAGTATCTTTCCCAACAATGAACGATTGAACAAAATTTTCAAACGATATTGGGAGAGATACCAACAGAATCAGGGCAGCATCTTCATCCTCTATCTTCACATCGATATTACGCAATTCTAATAACAAAGTATTTAATTGCTCTAAATGTTCCCTGAGTGGTGTACCTTCAGCCATTCGTAAACCGAATAGACGTTGTTTCAGAAGTAGCTTGTTGGTTAAAGATTTCGTCATGTACAGACTCTCCAACTTCAACCACAAGCCAGCAGCAGTCTCCTCGTCTGAGACCTCCGTGATAACGTCATCTGACAGACACAGCATGATCGTCGAGTGCGCCTTCTCTTCCAGAGCCGCCATCTCAGGAGTAGCGACGGCGTTTTTGTCTTTCGACAACGGCGCCCAGAAACCTTGTTGTTTCAACAAAGCCCGCATCTTGATCTGCCATAAACTGAAACTGTTCCTCCTTGTGAATTTGTCGATTTTCACGTTCAAAGCAGACATCTCGAAATTCTCCAAGAACACAGATTAACCAACCAGGCTCTGATACCAGTTTGTTGTGCAGAATTCGAGAATAAGAGAAAATATAAATGAGAAAAACACGACAACAGATTTAACGTGGTTCACCAACGTTGTGTTGGCTAGTCCACGGGGAAGAGGGGGAGCAGTTTTATTTCTGATTGGAGAGGCAAGAACAGAGTACAACAACTAGGGTTTGTGGTAGCACCCATATAAATAGTGCTTGGCAAAACCCTAACAGACTTAGGCCTAAAAATACAGAATTAATAGATAATTAAACAAGCCCAAATAGAATGGGGTTCGGACACCTCAGAATTCGGACCTCTCAGAATTCGGATTTCTTGACTTCTCCGGAAATCGGATTTCTCGACTTCTCCGGAATTCGGATTTCTCGACTTCTCCGGAATTCGGATTTCTCGACTTCTCCGGAATTCGGATTTCTCAGGAGTTGGACTTCTCCGGATGTTGTAACGAGTCAGATTCAAGGCATTACAACAGCACGTTTAACACGATTGCTTGTCCGGAAGTCCATACCCAGCAGCTCGTGGTTTTTTAGGTGTTGGCGCTCAAAAAAATCAAGGGAATGAGAGTTTATTTGCAAGTGGTCAACCGGTTAGATTCAAAATGGCTCGGTTGTCCACTTGAGGGGGAATGTTAGAGTGACATCCCACATTGGAAGTTCAAGAACAAAATAATCAGTATATAAGCTCTTGAGTTGAACTAACTAATCGATTGGATTCAATCTTTTAATGTGCACACAAACACAAAGAAAATCAGTAAGAACACAGATAATGGTTCACGCAATTCGGGGTTGAATCTCCTGCGTCCGTGATGCCCATGTTCGTGTAATAGTCATCCACTAAATCATCGTAATGACATATTACAATCAATCACACAAGAACATTCCAATGAATTGACCAATCAACTTACAAATGACTTCTCACTACGAATTCGATCTGTTTGAGTCTTTCTTCTTGACTTGTTACACCTTCTTCAAGTACTATGTACTTCAAGGATGTGCTCTCAGCCTTCTTCCAGATCAATAGTGTACTTAACCTCTGGATGATGGTCTTGCGAACAAATTAAATACAACACACGACGTGTATCTGTTAGGTTTGTTTTGCAAAGCTGGATTCTTTTTGTGAGACCAAGCTTTATAGATTTCCATGCTAGGATATAATGACTATGGTGTGAACTCTCATATGCGATGAACACTCCTTTTGTATATGCCTCATGCACGGATGAATGAATGGGTCTAGCAGACGCAAACCAAACGTACTTGGCTTCGATACCATGTAAAATGTTAGTGGGCCGAGTGAACTTGGCGAGGTACTGGGTGACATTTGACCACTTACTCTTATAAAGTTCATATTTACTTTCTATCCAATGATAGAATTTAAGATGTGGTATGGACAATTGGATTGAGTAATAAGACATTTGGGTTGAACCACATTAAAAGATTGAATCTAATCGATTAGTTAGTTCAACTCACGAGCTTATATACCGATTACTTTACTCTTGGACTTCT